TGAACTCACAGAGATCCACCTGGCTCTGCCTCCCAAGTGCTGAGATTAAAGGCGTGTGCCACCACCACCTGGCTCAGTCGTTACTTTTCTCTTCAGTGCTTTTTCTAGGTCAGAATATTTGTAGTGAAGGTTGGGGGGTGTGCAATGCAAGTATGAAGGCCTGAGTTCGGATCTCCAGCACCAGCATGAGATTCCTGTATTCTCGGTGCTGGAGAGGCAAAGTCAGGATTATTCCAGGATCTTACTGGCCAGCCAGTCTAGCCAGATCAGTGTGCTCTGTGTTCACAAAATAGGTGGAGAGTAGTTGAGAAAGATGTCTCACATTGACTTCTTGCCTTTATGTACACACACAAACACAAAAAACACACAAAGAATACTTGTAGTCATATATAAAATATATTTTATTGAAATTAACTGCTCAGCAAATAAGCCTTATATTAGATTTTCCACAGTATATTTACACACACACACACACACACACACACACACACACACACACACACACACGAGCCCACCCTGCCATGTCCTCTGGCTCATTTGTGACTGTGGAGAAACATTTCTGACACACTAGCTGGACAGCTCCCCCCTGACTCATTGCCCTCTCTGTGAATGTCCCCTATCCTCAGTGCCTTGAATGTGCTCATCTTCTTCTGAGCGAGGGCCACATTTAGAGATATCACTCTCCCAAGGGCTCAACTAGACTATTCTGTCACAAGAGACTTGGACTCTCGTCAGCAGAGTGCATGGCAGTCTTCTGATCCAGTCCCTTGACAGTGAGGCCCTGGGCTTTCAACAGCCTGGGGATACACTACCAGGGAATTCTTGAGTCAGGCCGATGATGTGCAAATGAGATGGACCCCAATCATCTGGAAGCTGTGGGTTCCCATGCTTTAGGAGCAGTTCAAGCCCCAGCCAAGTGTCTATCTGCTGAAGTCACTGGGCCCTGGGTATGGCTAGAGACAGATTTCTAGATATTCTGCTCTGGTCCTCTCAGTGTGGAGGGTGTCAAACACACAGGAGCAGGTACCCCTAAGGAATCATGTCCGAGGAGCAAGGAGAAGTGAAGAACATTCGGGAAATTAGAAACTATGGAAAATTCCATTTTTCAGCTACAATTGCATTTCTGCTTAAGTTATTGCCTGGGGACTGTTCCCTATGCACCCAAATCAAGAAAAGTGTTAGAAACTTTATAACTTTTGCTGAAGCAGAAGACATCCCCAGCTGTCTGTCATGTCTGTTTTCTCTATCAAAATATATGATATTTACTTTAAAGGAGAAGGAAATGCGTTATAAATAGAATATGTGCACTTCCAGTAATAGTAACTGGAAAGATTAGTGTTGACCCTCCCCCACTTCCTATGACAAACACAGGATGAAATATAACAATATAAAGCCAAGCTTAAAACAAAGGAAGGGAGGTCCTTAGGTCCTAGAATTAGAAGGGAACCCGAACCAGGATGGGAAAAGGACCAGCGAGTGAAAGCCCTGGGAGCTGGGAGACATCAGGACCACTGTAGGTCCTGGTATCTGGGGGTAGGGGTTTTGTACCCATACAGGGATGGGAAATGTAGCCCCAGGTCTACACAAATGGGGAGCAGGAACTGAGAGTCAGGTATACATCCTGGTTCATGACCACTGAAGGCTGAGAGACTCCAACTGAAGAGATGGCTTGGGGTTAAAAGGGCATCAGAATTCGGTTTCCAATACCCCTGTCAGGTGGCTCACAACCAAGGGGTCAGCCTCCTCCTCCTTCCACGGCCAAGTGCACCTGCATGCACATAGAAACACACATGCTTAAAAAGAACAATTAAAGTCTTTTAAAAAAGAAAGAGCGACTAACAGAGATACTTCCACAGAGTTGAATCTGAAGAAAAAAGAAGGGCCTGTAGAAGGCATTGGTAAACACGTGGGCAGAGCTGACTGAGCACGGAATGCTGTAAAGGCACAAGTAATGACTACTTGTGGCATATTTGTAGCATCAAGACAATAGATGGTAACAGAAGATTAAAGAGCCCTTATTATAATGAAGAAAATCCTCCAAGGTGCTAATGTGATTTAGGGATGGAAGAGAGATGTTGATTGTTTTTGTTCAGATTTTTTGGTTTTTCTTTTTTCTTTTTTTTTCTTTTCTTTTTTTCTTTTTTCTTTTTTTTTTTTTTTTTTTTGTATTTTGAGACAAGTTCTCTCTGTGTAGCCCTGGCTGTCCTAGAACTAACTCTGTAGACCAGGCTGGCCTTGAACTCACAGAGATCCACCTGCCTCTGCCTCCCGAGTGCTGGGATTAAAGGCATGCACCACCACTGCCTGACTCTTTATTTTTTGAGACAGGGTCTTACCATGTAGATTTGGCTGGCTTCGAACTTACAGATCTGCCTGTCTCTGCCTCCTAAGTGCTGGAGTTAAAGACATAAAGGCTGCCATGCCTAGCCTTCTTTTCTTTTTTAAGGCAAGTATAAATATTCAAAATGTAAAAGTAACCTCCAGAGATATGGTCAAGTATTGAGTAACTTCTAAGGGAACTTGTGATCATTTCATAGGGGTAGGTATAATGAAAATCTAATTTTGATGGCAAAATAAGCTGAAATGTCCAGTCCCTTCTCCAGTCACCCTTGCTGCTAGGGATGGTACTGTGTGACCTAGTTGTACTCAACAAGGCATCATGTTTTCATCTATAATAAGATGAGACAGATATTCCAGGCCTCTCTTTTCTGTTCAAGAGGGCCAGGATCTGCTTTTGAGAAAGGGGAAGGGGAGTTTTCCTGGTTGGTTGATGGAAAGGCCGTACTATTAGGAGAGAGGACCAGTAACATGGATGATTTCCCTGTCAGTGCTTTGTTTGTGGTGTTATAATAGAGTGATCTCCAGGAACGAAAGCAAACAAGGAGAGAGGGGGCGCGGAGAGAGACTACTGGGAGAGCATGATTGCTGCCTGCCTTCTAAGTGCTGGTAGCAGGAGTGAACAATGACAGCACTGAACAGTAATAGTACAAGAGGAGCACCTTAGTGATGAGCATTTGCTAGCACATGCAAGGCCCTGGGTTCTGTCCCCAGAATTACAAATAAAAATATTTATACACATTAGTCTCAGGGACATAAACACAAAAGTTCTATACAATACATATGCAAGTCAAACCTCTCAGGAAATAATAATAAACCATCCACCAGATTTATTCCTGAGATCCATTCTATTAACATTAAATAAATCTTCCTGTGTACTTCTCTGCAGTAAGGCTAAGAACAGCGTAAGGATTCTTGCCACCACCGTGGGAAAGGTACTAGTTAGTGAGTGTGATAGAACTGGAAAGGAGGCCTGGGGATGAATCTCCATGGTAGTGTGCTTGTCTAGTGCCACGGTTCATTTTGTCAACTTGACTCGGTCAGGAATCCCCTGGGAAGGTAGTCTCAAATGAGGGGTTGTCTAAGTTGGGCTGGCCTGGGAGTGTGTCTGTCAGGAACTGTCTTGATTGTGTTGATTGATGTGGAAGACCCAGCTCACTCTGGGAAGTACCATTCCCTAGGCAGGGGACCCTGGACGTTAGAAGAGTGGAGATACAGAGCTGAGTGCAAGCTTGCATCATTCATTCTCTCTGCTCTTGACTGTGGGCATGACTCGCTATTTCAAGTTCCTGCCAACTTGATGTCTCCCATGATGATGGACTGTTACCTGGAGATGTGAGCTGAAATAACCCTTCTTCCCTCAAGCTGCTTTTGACAGGGTATTTTATTACAGCAACAGAGAGGAAAACTAGGGCACCTGGCAGGCATAATACACACACACACATACAAATAGAAAGAAAAGAAACTGAATTATCAGTTGTAAACAATCAACTAATGGGAATTAAAGACATTGCACATAGTTATTAAGATCAACATAAGAAATCAATAAGGTGACTGTGTGGAAATTCCTATGTAAGAATCAACAGCATCATCATACTTATCGTATCATGCTTTATACATGTAGGTCATAAATTGGCAGAATACCTGCAAGAACTTAGTTTTAAAAAAAAAATCCATTCACAATAGAAAAAGAAACTTAGAGGTACTTGGTTACAAATCACTTAGTTATAAATCTGAAGGCTTTGCAAATTCAAAAGAGGCATGGGTGGTATACACCAATGATCCCAGCACTTTTGGGTGACAGCAGGAGGATCAGAAATTCAAGGTCACCATCTGCTACATAGCTCATGCTTGTAGAACAAATCATCTCCCTAGCCTCAAATGCTTGGTTTTAAACAGAGCTGTCATGAGACATCACTGAGGATCTACTGCTCTGTGTAACAGCCCTAGCTGTCCTGGAACTTACTCTGCAGGCCAGGGTGGCCTCAAACTCACAGAGATCTGACTGTCTCTGCCTCCTGAGTGCTGGGATTAAAGGTGTGTGCCACCATGCCTGGGCTGCATCTACTACTCAATGT